GTTTTGAAGAACAAACTTAGAAACTGCTATGCATGGGCATACCAACGGGGGAGGGGGGGGGGCGGCAAGCGGGGCATTCGCCCCTCAGTTCTCAGAGTGAGGGCAAACACAAGTTCGTACGCCATTGAGTAGGGCAAACACTGGCCGGCAGCGACCAAGGGATACCAAGGGCACCGCCCCTTAGCCCTGGGGGAAGGGGGGGGGGGGAGGTCTGGCTTGCCCCTCACTCATAAACAAGTTTATACGCCACTGCTGCTATCCTATGCTCTGTCTTATGTGCTGGGTGTGCCTTATGACTCGCAAGGTGTTTACGGATTGAAGAACCAAGCTTTACACTCTAAGTTTTTTTTGACGACGTTTCCAAACTTTCACACCCAAACGGTCCTTCAGTGCCCTGCAATGTTTAAAAACATGTTTTCAAAGTACAGTGTCACAGGAAAGGCTTATGCACCTACTCCTGCTGTATGTGCGCAGCACTCTATCCGAAGCTTGGGTTCTTAATTCTAAAGTTTGTATAAAGAACCGCAGAACATAAGGCTAAATTTTGCACAGTGTGGTGATGAGCTTAAAGGTTTGTAATGAGCAACCTCTGACGACTTTTTACATCACTCAGGAATGCATATTTCAATCCTACTTCACTATGTGAACTTCCTTAGGTTTCGTTTTTTGACGAGCTATACTTTGTTTCAGAAATTACCTGCATGCTTTTACATTATCTCTTATGTTCGTACAGAATAGAACTGTTCTGACGTGGAACTCGTTTGTGCAGTCAAGTACACATGAATTATTCACATCGTTTGTGTTTTATGTTTATCATGAATTGGGACACGCTTTCGCATCTGCCGCCTTCTTTTAATTACCGGTTCCTCTTTGACGTTGTCCCTATGTCACCGCACATAGTCTGTCAATCTGGCTCGGTTATAGATGGATAACTCCTGTTTTACGATCGTGCAACTTGCATACCAATGCAAAGACCTCGATCAGCATTGCATGAAATAAGTGTTACTATGTGGTGAAAAACGACCTGTAAGAACATTTTCAGGCAAAGTGGACGTGCATGCAGAGAAAACACTGTCCTGGCACTACTCCGACGACTTCTTCATTGTACCCGATTTGCTTTAAAAATTGGCTGAAACATGGCTGAAATAGTATCTTAACTATTAGGTCAGAATATTAATTTTTTTGCGAAGTTATTGAATTTACAATTTTAATCCTCAGCATTTTTTTTTTTTTTTAACTGAAAGTCTCTACCGGCAACAACGAAAAAGTGACACCAGTGGAAGGCATGCGTTCACTCTCGAGGCTGTGGATTTTGTTCCCAACTAATTACAAGCAGTTTGTTTCATGATGTCAAGTGAATTCTTTGTAAGCTCGCTCCAGTGCCCGCGCACAAGCACGGAACAAATACTTGGCATAGTCTATTTTTTAGACTGCTTGCTCTACTGGCAAGCCTCCCTTCCACTGACGCTTACGGCACTGAAAACTGTGGGTATATTTGAATGTTGGTTTTTGCAACATTTTCATTTGCCGATTTCACAATAACTATTTTGAATTTCGCGATACTAATTAACATACCGGGAAGGGTAAACGCCGAGGATTCAGAAAATATTAGTCTTGTGCGAATAGTTGATTTTGAGTTCGAAGCGAATTGGAAGTGAATAGTGGTTTTGCCCGAATATTTTCGATTCGAATGTCGAATAGTCTTTCCACGCATTTCACTACCATTGCATAATACTTAGATGAAAACCCAGCTAAACTTGTGAAGGTTGTTTCACTTGTTTATTTATAAACTAAGTTTAATCTATCTATATTTATGAACTGTGCCCTCAGAAGGTCTGGTGTCTTGGGATAGCAAGTAAACGACGGAATTGACATAAAATGAATCCTGTAGGGATGGCCAGCTAGACCCAAAAGAGTGAATATACACATGTTGCTATATAACATATTCTTTCTTTAATCTCGAGTTCAAAAATAATGAATTGTACATAATGAACACAGGTTTTAAGAGCATCTCTTGCATAACAGTCTAATTTTGAAACTTTTACTACATTGTAGATATACACATTAGAGCACTGCACGGGCCGGAATTTCTAGGCCCGGCCCGACCCGGCCCGGTAGAGACACGGCCCGGGCCCGGCCCGAGCCCGACAGAATTTTTAATTTCTAGGCCCGGCCCGACCCGGCCCGGAAGAGACCCGGCCCGGGCCCGGCCCCAGCCCGACAGAATTGTTAATTTCTAGGCCCCGCCCGACCCGGCCCGATGGCTGTAGCCCGAAATAACCCATTCCCGTTTGAACCCGTCCTGTTTCGATCCGTTCCCGAAACGAGCTCCCCATTTGAACCCGTCCTGTTTCGACCCATTCTTTAAACACCCTTCCCATATGAACCCGTCCCGTTTCGACCAGTTCCCTAAACGCCCTTCTCGTTTGAATTTGTCCTGTTTCGACCCATTCCCTAAACGCCCTTCTTATTTGAACCAGTTTCCGAAACACCCTTTGCGTTTGAACGCGTCCCGTTTCAACCTACTTGTATAAGGCCCTGCACATCGCAACCTCTTCGCAAAAAGTTTCCATCGTTCTAAGCCTGGTCTGCGCACCTTTTCTGTTTAAGAATGTGTTCTGAAGTAGCTTTACATGTAAACGCGTTCTTAAAATATACAACCCTTTCAGGCAAGCTTAAGTTTAATATATTCCTACTTAACCCCTTAAAACGTTTTTTTTTTTTCAAGATGGTTCCCAAAACGTGCAAGCGCGGAACGGACTATGTACACTGCGCGACACTGATAGCGCGAACACGACGTTGGCTCTTTTTTCGAATTTTACTTCGAAATGGTGTAAGTAGGCATTAAAGTATACCGCTTAGGTCTGTGGCCCAAATGAGCACTTCTAAAGAAACTAATAGTTTTGAAAACAGCCTTTTGATTCTATGAGATAAACATAAAAACACGACGATCGCTTGTTCGCGCTAATGTAGTGTCGCGCTCTGTGCAATAAGGGAGTCTTAGAATAGCGTACTCAAGTACTTTGGGCAAGCTAAAATTAGCATCGCCATAGGTTTTACATCGCAACGCTATTTTTACGGTACCCAAAGCGCTTGCGTACGTTTTTCTAAATCTTCCTAATAGTGAACTAGATATTTTGAGTGCGATGGATCAGACAGGTTGACAAGCATATGACTGGGACTTTATTTTGTTTACAATTTATAACACAACCCTCGCTCACACGGAAAAAGCTTGAAGGCTTTCTAGCTTCAAGACGTCTTTTAGTTATTATTTTTAACGAGGCTGTAGTGAATTTGCACTTCGCTTTTTTTTTTGTATTCAATTGACCTAAAAGATTAATGAGCAAACTTCTTGCTATCAACAACAATTTATGATTTACGGGACAAGATTGCCCATGCACGGCCCGGGCCGGCCCGGGCCGGCGCGGCCCGAGAACTTTTTTGTTCAAGCCCGAGCCCGGCCCGGGCCCGAGAAAATGCGTGCTACCCGGCCCGAGCCCGGCCCGCGGGCCGGGCCGGGCTCGGGCTTTCGGGCTGGCCCGGGCCCGTGCAGTGCTCTAATACACATTCACAAACTTTTTATTTATCTTCGAATACAGTCGGCACATCCCGCTTTGAATGTATGCTTTACTTCCAAGCACGCAATTGCGATATTCATACTTTTCCAAGTGTTTATCGCGGCGGGTTACCCCATTGAGTGCGCTTGTTATCAAGCACTGGTGCGCTGCGGAGAAGCAACACCCGCGGAGCTCGCTTCCGCGGGTATTGCTTCTCCGCAGCGCACCGGTGCGTGATGAGAAGCGCACTCAACGGGGCTAACCCGCCGCAATCAACACTTCGAAAAACGCGAATAGTGCAGTTCTTCTCGAAGCGAATATCGAATAGTGTATTATTCGGAACTACTATTCGAAATTTCGATTATTCGCACAACCCTAGACAATATAGTTAGTTGGCGTATCTCAACGAATCGCCGGAGTACCCCTTTAACCCGGATACCTTGTAATGTGCTTATGATTATGCTTGTGTCGGCGTGTTAATTGGTTTCTATATATTTGTAATGTATTAAGTACCACTCTTCCTTTCAAAATTACCGTACAAAAATGATGATGATGATGATGATTACGTTCCAATTTTTTCGTTCCCCCAATGGGGGAAAAAAAGAATCCACGTCACTGGTAGCGGTATTTTGTTTGTGGCTGTTTGAGTTAACTGCATGCCACTGTAAGGGTATCAAATTTTGCACTGAAAAAAAAAATGTATGGCAAATTGCCCTGCAATTGTGTTGCTACGTGAAACATTCTTAGTTTAGTGCTAATAACCTCCAGGCATTTCTTCTCGAGCTGGGCCTCCAGGTTTCTCCACTCCCTCGACTCCACCCACTTCTGTGCACCTCACTGACCCATTGACTTTCCCTGTCGGTTCGGCCTGTGTCCAGAAACTATGGGGAATGATGCGTGCTGCGGTCGATCACGTGTCAATTTTCCCTATAAATGTAGCGGGGAAACTGAGTTTGTGTAGAGGTCACGTCAATTTTCCCGCTAAATTTAGCGAGAAAACTGCAATTTTGTATAGGTCACGTGACAGGAAGCCATGTGACGTTATTTTACCCATTAATTTTAGCGGGGAAATTCGCGTTTAAGCTTTTTGGGGTTTCACTTCGTCTGAAAACTTGGCCTATAAACGTTCCACGTTAAAATAGTTCATATCTATGATGGGTATTTTGTCGCAACTCTCATACCCTTGACAAGATTGCAGTTAGAGTTGCTAAATTAAAAACATGAAGATAATGGCGTCCCTATCTCAAAGTTGTGGCGACTAGTACATTTGCACCGGTGGAGACAATGCACCATAAAGACACTTGCATGGGATGGGTGATGCTGATATCCGCCAACAATGTGTCATTGCCTCGTTGTTTTATCTCTCCTTATCTTGACATTTACCACATGCCCACTCTTTTAAGATCAAAGGAAACCACTTCGAACAGACAAAAAAAACAGGTGTTCAAACAAAACCGTTTATTGGGTTCGATTTGAGGAGAACTCAATTGTTGAGTGTTAACATAAGCTATATGCTTTAGCAGAGTAACAACACTTCAGACACATTGTTGCGTAAACCTTTGTTGTCAGTTATCCGAAGCCTTATCTGAAATCGCAAAAAACGTTTTCCCGTCCTCAACGATTCTCAACAGAGCAAACCGATATCGCAAACCGACACCGGGGAATGGGCACCATTCGTAAAGCTAATGCGACAATTTTCAGTTCATGCAACGTAATGCCCTATCCATCTTCACACAATGCAAACACTACCGTGACTTGGCAGACTGCATGCGATCGCGCTTGCCTTGCTTGTAAAGCACAAGGCAATACATACCTTTTCTTGAAAGTCAATGGGCTGAATCGCATTGTACCAACATTCGACCAACTCTGCTCAGAAACAAGACAAAAACACCTTGTCGCTAGCCTTTGTGACGTTTCACGCCCATTGTCTGGCAACGAACAAGCGTACGTTCGTGATCAAGTGGTATTACTAAAGTGTGACCGGATCACCAACAAGGTGTTCCTGTGATGCATCTGCGACCAGAGGTAGCTGAATATTTCCCTAGCTTGGACTCAGCAGAAAGATACGAGATATATGGCGTAGACTCGAGAAGACCACCGGCAGACTGAAATATACAACTCCTGAATCTGTTCGAAAGATTTTCAGTATATCTGTTGTCCACGAACACTCGTGTAAACTGAGAGCAAGGCATAGGCTTGTTGCGCAACTTTCCGTCTCACTGATGTCACGTGCAACCCTGGTGCACGTAAACGTGCTGCACATTTTTTTTTAACGCACGCTTTAAAAGTATTTGCCGTTTTATTGGGGAAAAGGCTTTTAGGGATAGTCTAGTGGCGCCAAACTTTCACAAGCTTAAAATAGTGAATGGAAAGGAACTTTATCTTCAGTGCCTTAGCAGTGTGGTGTTGGAGTAATAAATATGCTTATCCGCAATTTCTGCAACAGCCTTAAAGTACCATGGTTGGCAAAACCATGGTACTTTGAGGCTGTTGCAGAAATTGCGGCTTCTGTTACTGGTGAGGTACGCTGCTGGTGTAAGGTACTCTGATATGTCAGTCACATACGCCGCTTTAGACGGGCATTTTAGAAGAACCCTTCCTTTAACATTACTTATCGCAAAATAGTTCGACTACAAGTATGTTTAAAAAAAAAATGTCCCGTCTGCTCCCCCGTGACAGACATGATAAGCCAGTTTAGACACCACAGGTATCTCAAGATTAAGTTAGAGATACTCCTTCGGTAAACCAAAATTAGAGGCCAACTCGATGAATGGGCGCTCTTCCAAAGTAGCGGACATTTCTCACAAACAGGATGTGCCCCTCTATAAAACGAAACCACCTTGACCGAGAGATAGTACGCGGGCAATTTGCATCCCCGGGCCCGTTTACACCCCATATCCTCGTTAAATTATTATTATACTCTATCGGGAAGTAGACCCTTCTATGACGTGCTACAATGAACGAGTGTGTTTATACATGGAGCCGCCTGCGACGGAATAAGAATCTAGTTCATAGACCACTGCCTGCACAAGGATCTTATGATCTAGATTTTTCTCGGTTTGGGGAGCTTTGCAACCTGCATCGGCCTGCACAGGGATATCGTGATCTGTTGAGGCTCTTTGTCTTGGATTGGACGATCGGAGCACCCATCTCACAGAAACGATTAGCGCGAAAGACAAAGGAAAAGTAGAAGGCTGGACAGGACAGGGGCACGTTTTTTCGTTAAAACGTCAGCTGAAAGTAGTGCTTGTCCTGTCCAGCCGTCTACTTTTGCTCTTTCGCGCTGTTTTTGTTACATTTAACAAACTAAGCCATCAACTTATATTGGTATACACTCAGTCGTGGTATACGTCTAAGACTAAAAGTGAAAGTCCATGAGAACGGCAACCCTACTAAGGTGCAGCTCGGGGTCAAAGTGGACGGCCGGGTGGTGATGGTGGTGGTGTGGGTGCGGGTGGAGGTCGGCTTCGGCGCTGGGATCGAAGGCTCTGAACACCCAGGTGACGACGGTGAAGATGGCCGCGTTGGTGGGAAAGGCGCGCAGCAGCGTCGAGTTGAGGCCGCGAGTAAAGACGCCAGCGCCTTCGTTCCGGTAGCTCTTGACGGCGCAGTCCCAGAAGCCGGAGTACCTGCGGGGACGGGTGCGATCTGCTTAACTGATCTGTCTTCGTTGAGAGACATCACCGAAGGGCTTCTGTCGATATCGAATAGGCGAGATCACTAGATATGATGTTGTCTTCTTTCGAGCTTTCCGTTTTCTTCTTTATTTTGGAGAGGGGGAGATCTCTCAAAGGGTCATTAAACTATTCAATCCTTGAGAGAGAGAGAGAAAGGGATAAGCGAAATGCGGGTACTCAAAGAATTGTTTTAAACTATTTTTTTTTCATCAGCAAGATCATGCAAACGTTCCACATTGAAACAAGACGGACGTGTTTTATATCCATACTTTTTTTTTTTGCTCAGGAGAGCGTAAAAGAGCGTCTATCGGCCACAGTCTTTGGCTTTGACTGGCGCCGCTTAATTCTATCTTTCCTCTGATCGCGTGCTGTCGACATCAGTTACCATCCATAAAGAGTTAGTTGCACCACCCTATAAGGAGAAGAACATCGAGACTCCCTAGATAGAGTTGTAGGTGTACCCTACCTGCGTGGTCCCGTCATGCCGTCCACCTGCAACCTCGACTTGACCACGTCGCACGGGTAAGACACCATCCAGGAGAGGACTCCCGCGAGTCCCCCCGCGGCCATGAGGTGGACGGGCCCGCCGGTGCCCCGACGCACCAGCTGCTCGTAGCTGGCGAAGTAGACGCCGAACGCCGGGGCGTCTCGCAGCACGGTCGAGCCGAGGCCCCGGAACACGCCCCGGCAGCCCTCGGCGCGCAGCAGTTGCCGCAGGCAGTCCAGGGGGCCCGAGTACGCTCTGGAGCTGCCCTGACCCTGCACTGGAACGAAAGGACACAGTCGAGTACGCACGGTTCATTTCATTGTTTCGATGATGCGATCATTATTATGCTGTCGTGTCTGGCATCTGGACACCGTGGCCAAGGTTAAGAGCAGAGGCTATTCGGTAGAAACCGAAGGAGAGGAGGGGACTAGAGCGCTGATCTCTGATTGGAATCACTGTTCGAACAGTGAATAGAGACAAAACCAGCTAGCTTTGCGTCTATGCACTGATCATTCCAGTCAGAGCTCGGTGCTCTGCTTTCCCGACGCACTCTCACCTCCTCCTCCTCCTCCTCTCTCTCGCTCTCATTTTATCCCTGTATACGATATTCAACGATTGTTTTAAATGTGAGCTAAAAGGGACGGTAGAACATGTTCGGTGTGAATGCACTATTACGGCTACCAACCGAACAACATGGCTCTACTTGCAATGTTGCTTTGTTACAGAAAACGTTGCGTTAAGCAAGGAACACGATAGATACACCTGCAAATGTGTCCAAGGCTCTGATACCGTTTCTTACTCATGACTTTTTTTAAAGCTTTGGGCTTTTGTGCGGAAGTGATTTGTATAGCATCACTCCCGGCATCTCACTCATCATTATCTTAATCATTCCATCGTGCTTTCTAGTGGGAACCGGCTAGGAGAAACATCTAGGTTAACCACTTTGTCTTTCATTCATCAACACGAATCAATCAATCTCTGCAATGTACGCAAGAAATCCAATCTGTGCGATTCATGGAGGAGGCATAGCAAACGACAAGAGATCTTGCTATCAAGTCCACCGTTGCAGACCAATTCGAATTCGCCGCTAGTCCCATTTCGGCTCGGTCAGGTCTGTGGAAGACTGCATACCTTGTAGTCTGGTCTTGGCGAGCTCTACGGGACTGCTGACGAGGCTCTGTACCGAGCCGGCCAAGAGGCCGCAGGCGCCGTGCGCCCACGCGGAGTCCCCGAGCTGCTTCTGGGCGTTGCCGTAGACACCGAATACTATCGCGTTCACCACGGCCACTCCGGCCATAGGCGACGTCATGCCGCGGAACAGGCCTTGTACCTGTGGGCCGGCCGAGAGAAAAAGGCAATTTCATTGCACTATCAGTCGAAGAAAATGACGCTCTTGGATACTACGCAGTGGTATGTATGTACGTACACCAACGCACTGTTTACAAGCAGGCCGGCCTTGCCCACACCGGGAGTGAGCGTGCGCAGAAATCAAATTCGGGAGGAGTGGCGGTTCTGCGCGTGCGCAGCGCCGACAGCAGCGCCACCGCGGTGCCGTGACGTCAGAGCGTTCAGTTGGTCTATGCAGGGCGCAAGTTCGTCTGCTTCCTGCACAGGAGTTATGATGTCAGAACGCCGAGCTCTTATTGGCTGATTGAAAAACAAAAATAATAGTGAGTAGACCTCAAAGCATCTAGCATTGAGGCCTACCCACTATCCTTTCAATCAACGCCAATCATAGCTCGGCGTCGTTCTGACGTCACCGCAACTTCTGAGCAAGAAGCAGACGACTTGCTCTCCGCATATGAGCGATTTGGTAATACCCATAATGCCCAGGACACTCTTTCTTCTTTGTGGCTTTTGCCCAGTTTTTTTTGTTTTTTTGTCTCATTTTGTTACTGTTAAAAAAAAAAACACCGGCGTTTTTTTTTTTTTTTTTTGTTATTTAAACACATTTTGGTATATTCAGGCTTAATTCCCTTCCAGACAAGGTATGTATTGTCTCTAAAATGAAAGCAGCTATTGAGAAAACGATAAAAAAAAAGCTTGCCGTCAAAACCAGCATCAAATTTCTGCGTGCTCTCCAGGGGATGACGTCCCATGAAGTAAAAAAAAACCTGCAGGCAATTAAAAAAACAATATGTCGCGTTTTTTTTTTCTTCTGTTGATGTGAGTTTAGCTGTAATGTCTCCAAATTACAACGTTTGTGTTAAAAAGGAAATGCAAAAAAAAAAAAAAAAAAACTTCGCAAGAAAATAAAATTAACGGTAATTTCAGTTACTAGTTCAGATGTGTGTAATAATATGTTGAACCAATTTTGAGGCAAATCAGCGACTATCAAAATTTCGCCGGAGAATTATACACAAAAAGTAATTATCAAAAATAACGCAGAAATTCAATCTAAAGAAAGCCCTAGGATACATACTTGCATTGCAAAATTGGACCATCCCATTAAAAGCAGTCACTTTTCTCATTGCTGCAGATAGCAATGTAATGACTTCTATTTCGTTAGAGCGACGTCGTGGCTGCCATCTGGATGTCAGCCAAAGACGCAGATGAAATCGACCTGGTTTGTATACCTTTTCTGTGCGTATGATGCTTTTGAAGCAGTCGATGCTCCCTCTGTACTTAGGAGATGAACCATCTTGGGTCTGTAAGCGGACCTGCAAGAAAATGACGATATCCACGGTGACCAATAATGTTCTGGTGAAGACAAGGTAGAAAGAAACAAAACCATATGCTGCTCCACGAAATGAATGGTCGTGGTTCCGCAAAAGTCTATAAACCAGAAATGGTACTGTTCCGAGGCCATGTGCTACCGATCTACAAATGTTAGTAACAATATATTTTTTTTAATAAGAGTTGTGCGCATGTGCAGGTCGTCCTCACGCAGCGGCGAAGGCTCGAACTACGACTGGCGACCGGGAGTTGCACTACGTGTCCTTACTCCTCCGTGACTCACTGGTTCCCATTGTACTTGAAATGAGAACCACGTCTCTACACTGTAACGGCGCTTCGCGTAACGCATTCTTCTCGAAAGGAAACGCTTGAAACAAGCGTCATGTCACTGCTGCGACGAAGCGCTTATTTCAAGCAAAATGCGAACAGATTAGTCACAGACAAGGCTGGAGAGGTAGCGCAACTCCCCTTTTGAACACCAATCCTAGTTCGAGCTTTCGCTGCTTGGTGTTGTTTTTATGCAAAAAAAGAAAAAAAAAAGTTCCGCTAGGTGGCGCAAGCCGCCGCCCGATTAAAAAGGTTCAGGTATATCCGTCCATCCATCCATGGGTCTAAATTGTGTGGACACGTGTCCTTGTTCCACTGCATCTTATGTGGGCCACGGTGGGAAGTGTATACCCCTATAATCACCGCACCACATGAAGTGACGGTTTTCAATAAAGGGCAGCTGCGCTAGCACTTTTTTTTTTTTTTTTTCACTGAAGACCGCTGCTGGCGCGAACATCAAAGAGACATGGCAACTGGAACTCACGTGATGGCCCGTAAACAGATAAGGACGCCCGAAAGGATAGACCTCAGCCAGCTTATGATGGCAATTAGAGTCACCACATATATCTTCCTATCTTCAAGAAGGATAGTGCGACGGGTGGATAACGTAGGCCTTTTTGTTTGCATTTCAGTCTCCTTAAGCCTCGGCTAGGTTGTTGATGACCTGCCAGGAGCTGGAGTCGAAGACAACTGTTGCTATCATTCGAGGGATAGACCTTTTTGTATCTCTGTCTCTTTTGTTTCAAATAAATTCACGATAGAACCAGAAAAAGGTTGCGATTCGGTCACCAAAAGATGCTTTTAGTTCTCACATTCATCCAGATCTGTTGAAACGCTCAATTCTCTGAAGAAGCAAGTTTCGTGATGGTCGACGTCTCTTTCTCCGACTCTAAACAGATAAGGAAGCCCGAAAGGATAGACCTCAGACTGCTTATGATGGCAATTAGAGTCAGCCCGTAGCCTCCTATCAGCAAGAAGGATAGTGCGACCGGTTTATAACAGTGGCTCTTTGGTTTGCATTTCAGGGCTCTTGAGCTTCGGCAAACTTGTTGATGACCCGCCAGGAGCTGGTGTCGAGGACGACTGTTGCTAGCGTGCGAAGGATCTTGTATCGTTGTATTTTATGTTTCGAATAAGTTAATAATAGTACCATGCAAACGTCGAGGTATCCATGTAGTCAACCGAGTAGTTTTTGGGTAGGCACATCTGGTTAGAAGCAAGTTTCGGGATGGCGAGGTAACAAGTCCTTCTCTAACCATGTGACTCCCTGATGTACACGTATACGAATGACAGAATGAAAACAAACTACGCTAGATATTCATTTTATCTCTTTAATATTACTTCATCGAAGTCATCATTTTTCAGGCTTGTAATTTTAGGACGGCGTGAATTGTCTCGAGAGTCAACTACCTCCCTTCTTTATTTCAAAATAGACTGCCTTAAGCTCTGAAAGGTACCCGTACGTTGTCCACATAGGGTACGCCCGAAAGAAAGCTTGCAGAGTCGGGTCCGAAATTACACACGAAAAAAAAAATCTCCATTTGCTTACACCCAAATGGGACTAACGCCGTCGTTTAATCCTTGCATTAGAGAGGAAAAAAAAAAGGAATGATATTTTTTTTAATTATATTTACACGTATTTGAAGCAAGAGGAGTACAATTAAGGTTAAGGTGTTTCTTTCTGTTTCGCCAATACGGATACAAAGTTTCAAGCAACGGGTGCGTCATCGGCACATCACCGTAATTGTTTCTGGATATCTAAAACCCATTACGGGAGATAAGCGGGTTGCGCACGGGGCTTGGATCAATCTTATCTGTCGTTATCTCTGACATAGATACGCCTAGCTCGTTACAATGAAGAGAAACTGTCGGAGACATCAGTGGGCAGGAAGCAGCAGCGGTTGCACCACTGACTCTTGCTTCATGTTTTTTGCTTTTAACATGTTCATCAAATGTTGATCAAAATATTTTATGTCGAGATTCAAAGGTGCGGCTGCAGATTAGGAATATTAAAGCATAAAATTTATACTATATATGTATATATTTTTTTTAACGAATATTTTCAGTTTTAGACATTTTTCCGTTCGTCCGTCCGCCTGTGCACCCCCCCCCCCCCCCCCTCCCCAACCTCCCCCAACTTTGGGGTGAAAATTTACGTCATATGACGTCAGAATATCACGTGACACCGTGACGTCACGGCGCAAAGTCCTGGTGTCATGGGATACGTCACGTGACGTCAATTATCCCGCTAAATTTAGCGGAGAAATTATTAAACAGTATGTTTTTCTTCACTTCCGTCTTATAAACACATGTAAACGGTCGCGCCTTAAATAGAAATAGTGCTTGTCGTGCATTTGATAGACGTTTGATGATAAAGGTCGCTGGAAATTAGTTAGATTGTCAGCAGCAATTTTCGAGAGCAGTCGCATTCCAATTTGTTATTATAATTTTTACATTTAACAAGTATAAACATTTAACAAAAATATTCGATAGTTGATGCCCATAAATATATAATCTATCGAACTTTCGTTTCAACAGCTGTTCTCGCAGTTGAAATTATTTCATAATCGCGGACATTATACGGCATTTATAGAATAATTTCTGTGGTGCATCTTTACGTCCGCAATTATAATTGTGTAATTGAATAAATTATTAAAAGGGACTGCGTTTCGGGTATATACGAAAGACAAGACGAACAAACGCTATCTGGCAAATATTTTTGCAACAAGGATTTTCTGCAAAAACCCTAACAACTTTTTTTTATTTTTTTTTTATGTTTGAAGCCAGGCATTTCGAGGAATACACCTCAGCGTGCACTATAGACCTTTCCATCGCTTATCATCCGTGCTAAAAATGCTGAGTCACTGAGCTGTGGACTTATGCGCAGCGTCTGATACAGAGAACCAGCGCAGTCCAGCAGACAAAGAACGCTGCTGCCCAGCAGCAGCGTTTCACAGCCCAGCAGACAAAGATGGCATCTCGCAGAAGGCGATTTTTGTAAAGGTCTACATAGCTAAATAATTGTCTCCCTGAGTAGTGAAAAAAAAAAAAGTTAACACCAAAGGTTTGATTGATGATTCTTCCCTTATAATTATTTTATGTTGATATCTCCGTGAGTGCGCAGTGCTCGGTTAAGTAAGAATGTAGACATGATAACCGATGTACTTTCGATAATATGCAGTCAACAAAGGCTCGAGCAAACAAATAAAAAATACATCTTATGTTCAGTACTCCTGCACTTTCACTCGCTTTTTTGCACCCTTGTTCGCTTTTGTTATCGCTGATGCAGAATAAACATCGATTTTTTTTTTTATCACCCTCGAAACACCGATAAATATCGATTTATCGCGCCGAACCCCGTCGAAAATATATAACCCCCAAAAACAAATAATATACAGAGTGTTCCCGAAAAACAATTCGAGTGTTTTACTTGCCGCAAAAACGAGCTGCGCATTTCCGAAGGCTCAGTTACCGCCCAAATGTAGCGCTAACGCTGCGGACCGGATGCCAAAGTTTAACAGCTAAGCGTTATTTGATTCTAGTTTCTGAAACTTTTATTTGAAAAATGGGGCACGTTCGAGTCCCGGTAGTTTACGCCATTCAGCCCATATCTGTTCGTCGTCCTTTGTCGCGGCCGCCGTTTTCCCATAAACAATTTCCAAAAAAATGCTTTTTTACCTCTTGGGTAATCTGACGGTTCGTTCTGAAACTTTGGCATCTGGTCGGTACCGCTAGCGCTACATCTGTTAGGAAATTGAGCGTTCGGCAACGCGCACTTTATTTTCGCAAAAAAACAAAAGAAAAAAAACACGCTGTTATTTTTTTTTACTTATTGCGCGCGCGCGCGCGCGTGCGTGCGCGCGTGCGTGCGTGCGTGCGTGCGTGCGTGCGTGCGTGTGTGTGTGTGTGCGTGTGCGTGCCTGCGTGCGTGCGTGCGCGCGCGCGCGTGTGTGTGTGTGTGTGTGTGTGCGTGTGTGTGTGTGTGTGAAGGGGCGGGGAGAGGGTGCACTTGTACTTTGTAGTTTTCAGCCAAAGATCGACAAGTGGGCACTCACCTTTATGGTGTCGAAAGGATGACCAACTATAACACCAGCACACCCTGAAAAGACAAGACATCGACATCAGACAGAAATTAACTGTGAGCTTCCAGAATAGACTGCGGCGATATCATTGTACATGGTTGAGTCAGCGAACAACGTGAGGAAACTGTAGAATAATACAGGAGACAGGATAGACGCTGAACTCACAACTCAATATTCCATCCAGAAGAGAAGAAGAAAGATGACAGATAACCAACAGGCACGTGCTCATGGCACGAGAGCTCTAGGGCGCGGGCCAATGGTTGTAGCGCATCGAAGCGTTTAAAAACAAAACTCCCCGGTAAATAATGTTTTTAACTTTTTTTTTTTTCGTTTTTTTTTTTTGCCCGATTTTTTGAAAGTTATTTTGGTGATATCCCACACCGCCTCGTTCGTTTGTCTTCTTAGATTTAGGCTAGGTGGCGCAAGCTACCGCCAGTTACAAAGGGTATAGCCATCAACATCCATCCGTCCATCCATCTCGAGAATTCACAAGATTTCGCTAGCAGGATGCATGTGCGTCAAGCGAAACCGCCTTGTGATCGATTCCCGATTGTTTTCTTTATCAGATAAACATAAGCGGATAGAGAGGCATGGGGGGTGATGATATGACCAAAGAGGACCTCTTGTAAACGTGGAAAGAGGTCTTTGCAGTCCGTTGACATCCTGTTACGTATCCGGAGCGGTATTTCTTTCTTATCACCTGTCAACACTGATGATTTCATGTCACACCATCTTGGCAGCGCCCTGACCTGACCGTCTTCTTTAATCCTTCGTCTCGTTGGCGCTGCTTTTTATATATTCCATATAACGTTTTAAAACGATTTTTGATGCATGTCTGGTCTTTCTTGGCGTGAAGAACAATTTTATCCCCGATAGGCACCTGTTGTCTAAGAGAGGAATTTTCTCCCGCGAAACATTCGATGATGCACTCAGTATATCATTCAGTTATCCACTTTACACACTGCGGAAACACACGTTAATGTGCCGCCTCGGAAAAAAAAAAAAAATGTAGGTCCGGACCCGCGGATACCCTCATCCCATCCGATCCGTAATCCGCCAAATCTGATGCATTTTTATCCGCGTCCGCCAGTTGAGAGCGGATATCCGCGATATGATCCACAAGTAATCCGCGGATATGCAGGACCGTTATCGCAGTTATCGGAACCGCGTCTACTAAAACTCTCTACGTCACCAACTCGTTTTCTCTTTCTTCGAATCACATACCAAGTATTCGGGAAGCTCACACGCTGAGCTTGCTCGCTGCCGACAGCAAATTACCTCTTCCTAAAATTCCGCCACATATGAGCGGTATTTCAGCCGAAGGACGCGAACAACAGCGGGAAACAGCGCTGTGTTTTCTAGCCGTCCTTCAGCCTCTGTTAAGAGTTTTTAAAGGGATACTGAAGCGAAACTTGAAATACACCTATTATGGTCAGAAATAGGTTCAATATGATCAATGATATTCATAAATCATAATCGCGCGTTTGTATTTTGAACGGATGGCTATATTTTTCACCCTGATGGGCCCGATTGGGCGCGCGCTCAAAAATCGGCCATCGGAGAGCGCGATGCGTCTTGGGATATTGGGCGCATTCGTGACGTCACTTGTGCCGGTCGGGAAAGGCTACGGCGTGATTGTTGTGGTTACAAGCGTTGCCACTTGGTGGCGCGTCGACGATTTACGACCTGTGACAACGTGGCCGTTTGAGATGTGCAAGGGCTGCACGCACGCTGCACCGGCTGCACCACGGGACCACGGCAAGTCGGCAACCACGGCAGCACTGACAAAACCAGCTCTGAGGCACGCTCTGAGGCCGGATTCTCAAAGCGAATTCACGACGAAAAAAGTGCGTACGACAAATCTGAGAGAAAACCCGTGCTCTCGAAACGAAATTGTCGTAACCTCTGCGCAGGTTACGACAGAATCCTACGACAGCTCCGAAGCTGCCTTACGCACTTTTTACGATCAAATCAACAAGGCCGACAGCGTCGCTCAGTTACTTGGTATCGGCCACCAACGGACATTTATTTTTCTTCGTGCTCTTCTCGTGCGTCCCGACTTCAACCAGCAAGAAAAAAAGGAAGGAGTACTTAAAACAGACCACGACGATCAAGAACGCAGGATCCACAAACACACGAGAAGAGCTGCAACAGCCACGATTCTGCCGACCGAGCGAGCTCGGCAGAATATAGTAGGCCTAGCAGCAACATCGACTCGGCGCACCGTTGCTCCGGCGGTCCTTGGCCAAGACCGTCTGTCCATGACCGGCTGGCCTGCTGAATGGAATATGCCCGCGCGACCCTTGTGGACCCTTCCCGGATGAGTAGTTTGATCCCTGAACTAAATTTCAGAGGTCAATATTTTCCCCTTGTCATCTCGATCTCCTTGTTTTCCGAGACAGCGGTGACGAACGCTGTCGTCGAAAAGGGACTCTCATTGATTCTATCTCCTTGTTTTGTGTGATATAGAGCTCAAATAAACGCCATACGGATTACCTTGGCAACTCGGTATGTACACTCTGTTATTAGTATGCCATTTTTATTCTGACTCGACGCTACGTCAGTGTCGAGCTATAGCAGTTCGTGGGAGCTACGCGATGTCGGTCTAACCTTTCTTTTGCGAGTGTCATGTCAGTATCGAGTTGCAATCGTAAAAGATCGGTCCAGAAGCGCTTACCGAAACGCGGTCTAACAGAGCGAATCCAGCACTTCGATCAAACGCGCGTGTCCGCTCCGAGTGTGTACAGGTATTTGGCATTTGCGTGGCTCTTGCTGACACCCTCGTAGTTCAAACATATCCTTTTTAACGTCGGCTTGCAGCTCGCGACTCGCAGCAACTAATACCGGCCGTGCCAGAAGCGAGGCGCTGCAGAAGCATGCTCGGGTCGTGTCGTGCAAAGAGCCGCAACGAGAACGAGCTCACTGTGGCCAACTACGCTTTGGCTTTCTCCGCCAAGGCTTTGCGAACGCGTTCAGGCCTAGGCGAATTCTCCCGGCACGCCGTATTGCCGCAGAACGGCGCTGCTATTTTGGCACAAGTGATGTCACGAGAGCTTCCCCCCATCCACCAGATGAGAATTTGAAATCGTTTAATTATGTTTAAAATTAGTTCTCCTGTGTTTTACAGCGCAATATTTATATTTCCGAGGTGGTGCCTGTCCCTAGCCCATATTTATGCAACAAGATCGGCGCTAAAATTTCGTTTCACTACCCCTTTAAGACTGATCTTCCATGGTTTCACGGAGGAGCCCTGCCACTAAAATGGTTATCAGGGCGAGGTCATACGAAGCCTGCGTTGGGGACATGAACCCAGTGGTGTCTAAAAGGTATAACCCGTCGCGCGACAAGTGATGAAGTGGAGCGAACAGGATGAAAGGGGGAAAAAAATACAAAGTTCAGTTATGACGCGCCCGCGCACAGCTGCGCAAAAGTGTTAATACCGCAGCATAATTTTCCTGCAAGTGACGCCACATAAAGGAAATTTCCTATCAGTGGGACGGTTGTTAGCTGAACGAAATCGACGAAGCTAACGGCTTGTGCGAATGCACCAACGGGTAGGCTGTAACGCCGAATACCAGGTGTGCATTTTGTGTGCGAAAGCAGACAAAATCGTTTTTTTTTCTTTTTACTTTTTTTTAAAAATAATTTTGAAATACGTTAGTCAAGAGCTTTGTAAAACGATCCTCTAAATGCTTGGATACATCTGGTATGTAAGAAAACCATAATGTATACCTTCAAATAGACACAAAATGTCCGCCATATTTTTTTTTCTTTCCGCGCGAACGTAAAAGCAATCGTAATATTTCTCGGAAAAAAAAAAAAAAAGATACAAGCTCATAGAAACAGAACACGACACGCGAGTTCATAAGAATTGGCGATCGAGTTCGTGTCGACAGGCGCTACGGCGTTGCCCTTAGGGATATGTCGCAAGGTTTTGTTGGTACGCACCAAAAAAATTCGATTGCTCGCCGAACCTTCGCATACTTGTGGCGAAATTCGACGAAGTTCGACTTTTGTTTAAACGTGTTGCCCGACACTTCTACACAAACGTTTTATAACATTTTTAGAAAATGTAGATGCTTATACGTCAACTCAACTCTCCGATGTCGCCATAGTAGTGGCGCATTTCTGTCGCTATCTGTGCACGTGCAGACGGTTCACTTCACCCAAATCAGATTTTTTTTTTTTTTTTAACGCATGGGCGGCGGTGTTTACACCTGGTGAACGCGGTGTTGTTTGTAAACATCCTGTAAACAGCGCTCCTCATTTTTGAATATTATAAAAAAAAATATCAGATATATAAGAATATATATTTAAAAAAAAATAGTCAGTTTGTTAAAATAGTACATTCTTCCTCCGCCAGGCAGCGCCAGTTCGCTTTAATTTTCGCGAATATTTACGAAAAAAAATGGAGGGGGGGGGGGGGGGGGGCGGGTGACCGCCCCCCCCCCCCCAAGCTTTTTAAGGTCAACTTTTTTTTTTTTAAATAAAATCATTGATATACATAGCCAAAAGTTTAGTGGGTCAATAAAATCGATCTGGACAACGTTTCTACTATAACGTTGGGTTTATGTTATTAAAATGAATTTTATCGATTCGTTTTACGTCGTGGCAACGGTATAGGACTTTGTTAAGTTTTTTCCCACGTAACATCTGTTTGCATTGCTGACAAGAAAAAGTAGTTATTAAAATATATCACCCTGGCAGACTTCAGTCCCTTTGTAAGTTTGTTTCGGTACGATTTGAACGTTTTGAGACTGTCAGGACCCCTCGTGTTAACAAATGTTTTCTACAAAAACTTTTTTTCTTTTTAACTTTTGTTAAAAGTTCTGGAGTTATCCAAGGCAAGGCTTACGGCTTATTTTAAATGTCCTAGGTAATTTATGAGGAAATAATGTTTTATATGGTAGCCGAAATTTATTTAAGAATAAATTGTATGCTTGATTTGCGTCCGCTGCTTTAGACTTCCAGTCTAGCTTTGAACGCTTAAACCTAAATTCAGAAAAGCAATTTTCTG